GTACAGTGGTGTGAAAAAGTGTTGGCCCCCTTCCTGATTTCTTATTTTTTTGCATGTTTGTCACACTTTAATGTTTCAGATCATCAAACATTGATATTTATTAAATATCTTTGACTAATATTTAAATTTGTTTGATGATCTGAAACATTAAAGTGTGACAAACATGCAAAAAAATAAGAAATCAGGTCACTTTCAACACTTTTTCACACCACTGTATTATTGATTTAATGTGTAAAAGTGAAGCTCTGACCTCAAGTTTCTGTTTAGTGTACGCTGAGCACTGCGTGTAATTGGACCACAGACGGTTGCTTTCCGGATGATGAAACCACTGACCGTCCGAGTCACACACTTTGGTCACTTTCTCTGATGGAACGCAATGAGAAACGGCACACATTTCATTTGGGAAAATTGTTTGCCAAATTCGCTTTTTTTCCATTTAGATTCTTTTTTGGTTATTATTTTAATTCTCTTTTAATGGTTAAATTAAGTGCTATTAATCAAATAGCATGTGCAATTAATTGAAATGATGAAATAATTTAACAACAACTAATTAAAAGTTAAATAAATAAATAAATAAAGTCATTTTAAGGGCCCTAGAAATAAGTTGTATTTTTTTTTTATTCCATTTTAATGGTTAAATGAAGTGCTATCAATCAAAACGCATTTTTAATTAACTGAAATCATGAAACAATTTAACAAAACTAACTACAAGTTTAATTTAAGTAAATTAAATAAAATTAAACAAACAAGCAAATACTGTAAATAAACAAATTAATGAATGAATGAATGAATGGAGTGTTATTTTTAGGGCCCTAGAAATCTGTTTTATTTTTTCCCCAAATTCAATTAGAATTTTTCCATTTTATTATTTCACAAATTCAGTTTTACCTTTCCACTTTAGTGGTTAAATTAAGTGTTAATAAACAAAAAAAAGCATGTTTCATTAGTTGGAATCATGAAACTAATATAATTTGATAGCAATTTAATAAAAAGTTTAACAAAAATTTTATTTTTAGGGATTTTGAAATCTGTTTTATTCCATTTTTATTTTTCTGGATTATGATTTAATTTAATTTTAATGATCAAAAAGCATGTCTAATCAATTAAATTCATAAAAATGTAACAATTTAATCATTTTTATTTACCAATTTAATTTATTAAAACAGTTATACAATAATAGGGCACTATAAAATCCTTTTTATTGTATATCAAATTCAGTTTTTTCGCCACCACGAGCACGTCTTCACCGCGACACAGCTGCGGCATTACACAGAAAACAGCACACTTCACAATCAGAGCTCACGCACTAACAACCTGCGCTTTTCTCATTATTATTATTAATACTATTAGCATTGTCATTATTTAATATGTCATTTATTTGTATTATTATTATTATTAATATTTCTATTTAGCTTAAAATGTTTTGGTTTCAGTATTTCAGTACTTCCACTTAAACTTAATTTATTTTATTTTTTGTAATTTAGTAGTGTGCTTTTGTCATTTTTGTAAAAAAAATGTTACATTTCAATTTAGCTAAAAAATTGTTTTTGAGTAATTTTCATCCAAAATAAAAGATTTTGTTTACATAATATATGTGTGTGTACTGTGTATATTTATTATGTATATATAAATACACACACATGCATGTATATATTTCAGAAAAATATGTTATGTTTATATATTAATATAAATATTATGAATATAAATATAGACATGTAAATATTTTCAAAACATAAACATGCATGTGTGTGTATTTATATATACATAATAAATATACACAGTACACAGACATATATTATGCAAACAAAAACGTTTATTTTGGATGCGATTAATTGCGATTAATCGTGCGACAGCACTAAAATATACTGTATATATATATAGAGAGAGAGATTATTATTAAAATCTTTATTATTATTATTATTATGTAATATTACAGCATTTATGCATCTTACATTTACTAATAATGTTACAATGCTACACCAATTTTAACATTAACTAATACTCAACATTTACATTTACATATTTTTAAACCAAAATTTTATTAACTGTAGTTAATAGACTGTGATCTAACATGAAGAAACCAGGAACATATTTTTATTAATAACTAACATTAACAAAGTTAACAATAAATGCTGTAAAAATATACTGGTCAGTTAGCATTACTATCGTTAACTATAACTAAAAGCATTTAAAAAACAATTTTGTTACTTAAAATAAAATAAAATGTATCTGTAATATTCTTTAGCTAGTTACCGAAGCAACATTTCTAATTTTTCTTTAGTGTAACTTGTAGTACTAAAATAACTTTAAAAAAGACTAAGAATACTATATATATATATATATA